TCTCTTTTCTGTGTCACCTTGCTGTGGATCAGGCTGTCCTGTGCAAGCTTACATTATGAAGAAGTTAAAACCTAACTGTGGCAGCCGAAAGCAAGGGAACAACCCCCAGAGAAGTACTGCAAACCAGCTGAAAAGAGGCTGAACTTCAGCTAAAAGCGCAAACTGACCCATTCAGTGATGTGTGAAGAATTGATGGGAGATGACCAGCTGGCAGGGCAGGGCCACCCTGAAAGCCAGCCTGCCCAAGGCTGTCCAGCTCTAGTTCATTCTGCGATCTGGCAAAGAAGTGATGTAAACCATCTGTCAGGACATGGTAGCTAAGTGTTGGGAAAAGAAAAGAAAGAAATGAGAAGTGCTTCGCTGCTCATGTTTAGTCTTCCCACTCAATCTTAGGGAAGCCGTTGGGTGCACACAAGGTGCAAGTGCCCTAACAAAACAGGCAGAGCGTGTCTCACACCAAAACTGCTTTGCATAGGGAAGCTGCAGTCTTACACAAGCGTCTGAGTCCATCAATTCCAGACCCTCTTTACCTCCGAAAGGCTACCAGGACAGAAAAGGTAGGCAGCCAGCTGGAGTCCCACCCCACTGCTACTAAGTGACAAGCATCACTGTGTGTAGCATTTATTTAAACTGTACATCAGTGCCAACCAGAATTGGGACAGCATCCAAAAATACCCAACATTTGTTTTCATTCCGAGACACGTTTCCCTGCAGTCCCAGAGCAGCTGAAACCAGCCACCTCCACAGCATGAAGGTGGGTTCTGTGTTCCAAGCAGTAAAGCTAAGATAGAACCTCTCAGGCTGAGGTGTGTGTACTGTCCGCAGACATCGCAGCAGGAAGTGGTGCGCTGTAAACGAAGAGTAGACAAGGCAATCGGAGAAACAACACACTTGGAAAAGAGCGATACCAAATGTTTTAATGCTAGAGCTGTGGAACACATAGCATGTAGGGAGCTGAAAGCAGAGCAAGTTTGTGAACAGGATAATAACCCATAAACCAAGGAGCACTCAGCCATGAGGCTGGCAAGCAAAATACACTCTGGCAGCTCAGGAACGGGAGGGACATTACAATAGTACCTCAGGAAACCACTGGCACGCAGTCTGATAGAGACAGGGGGGTTGGCCCTATGAGCCTATGAAAATGTATATTTCTACTCTTTCTGTGTAACAGCTTAGAGGAGGGGAAAAGACACTTTAAATATTTAAATATATTTAAATATATTTAATTTAAAATACATACATTTTTTAAAAAACCAAAAACTTTTCTGTCCCCTTCACTGGATCTTCACAGAAACTGTCCTGCAGATAGGTTGGCACTTTAGCACCCTGTCAATGCATTAAATTACAAAAATGACAGAAACAACAAAGCAAACCTCTTCTGCATGTGTAGCACACTGACCAGTGTAGGATGCAACAAGCACCAGCAGCAGCACAAAGCAGGGTTCACAACAGCAGAGTCAGGGGAAGAATCAGAGCAGCTCAGGGCAGCAGGGAACAGCAGCCCCAGAGACTCATCCAGTTCTCCAGCTTCTCAGGAGATTTCATATCAAGTAGCTTAGCCTGCACCCCAGACCACACACCAGCTTTGTATCACCTCAGCAAGCAGAAAAGGGAAGAAACATTTCTTTTCAGTGAAGTGCTCCAGATTATCTCTGTTCATAGCACTAACTTGGTAGCAGAAGTAACAACTAGTACATTCGTGAGAGATACAAGAGGCCTTCTCCAACAGCGTCTGGCTTGGAAAAGGAAATTCATAAGCAGAAAGGTAATTCCAGTCACATCTCAAATCTCCTGCTAAACAGCAGGAAAGGGAGTAAAGCAACAGTCTCACCTTAAGCATCACCTGCATCCAAGATGGAGTTGACAGCAGTGTGCAGAGCAAAGCGAACAAGGAGCAGCCAAGCAGCAAACAGCAGCTCAAGATGATGTGGCAGGAAATGTCTTCCCCTCAGTGAGAGGTCCAAAGAGTTAATGAAGCCAGTGACAAAGTTTTAAATAAAACTGTAAACCATTGTTTGAGAACAGTTAGAGGGCGCATGCTATCTTACAGTACCCATACAACACTATCACCTGTGGAATGAAGGCGATGACCTGCGCACTTTGGGAGAGGTCGGCCTTCAAGTTTCAGCTCTGACTTCCTTCTAGTTAAGCCATTACCATTTTTCACAACTTACCCTTGCTGCTCAGAAAGGTCTAGCCGGGAGGCTAAGCAACACATCCACAAGCTTAAAGGCCAGTGTTCACAGGAACAAGTATTTTCTCCCATTATCAGCCCAATATCTAGGTGTTTTATAGCAAATAAGGAAGGAACTGATTTGCAGCCATTGCTCCTGCAGCTTTCAGATAGGAATACTATTCGCTTGCCCTCATTAGCACCGCAAGGAGCAATGCTTTGATCCGATACTTAATAGCATGAGGCCAAATGTCTAGAAGCTTTACAAGAGAGCATCTGCAGCCTACCCCCTGCCTTGAGATCCAATATCAGGATCTTCCCACCGGTATAGGCTTCCAGCACACCAGGGTGTGGGATATCCATGATCCCATCTGGCAGACGGATGAATGTCGCACATTCTAAACTTCCAGACAGCATCATCTGGACGAGGAGGACAAAAATGCCTGCAGTCGCTATTTAAAGCTGCTGAGTATTCTGGTGTGTCTGATGGCGGGAGGCAGCGACATATTCCGTGATGGACAAATAAGGACCCTCATGGGCATGGCCACGACAAGCAGGTTTTCATGGATTCTTAAGTCTCATGTAAGCTTTTAACAAACCAAGTGTAAAAATACTGCAGGATGCATGAGCAAGGATGGAAGCCTGATGTTACATCCTGTGTGACTGCCTATGTATACACAACTATGTAACAACCCTGGGGTGGAAGCAGTAGACAAGCTGGCGGTCCGCTGCGAGGCAAGCCACCGCCTGTCCCAGCCCCTGCCTCTCGGCACCCCCTCGATGCTCTTAGCTGAGTGTCCTGCGAGTCTATTTTTTTTTTTAATTATATTTGACAATCCAAGTGTCTTAATGATTCTATGACAACCAGGCCCACTCTGCTGCCTTTACTACAAAATCTCCTGCTCAGTTCCTTGCCCTCTCTGAAGCAGGCAATTGCTCTTCCCAGGGCATCATTCCAGAGAGCTTAATTTCTACAGGACTCTGCTTTCAGGCAGTGTTCAGCGGGCCCTGGGGTCCAATCACCACTATGGTTCAGATACACATCTAAGGTGTCTGCAATCTGTGTCACCAAAATTCACTCTAGGCTACATGGCCTTTGGGAATGCAACAAGAGAACGGCCTGTTCCTTCCCGCTACCAGGCGGCAATTAATACTGTCAAAAACCAACTGTGCTCTTTCTCCCAAGCGCTTAGAGACAATCTTTTGCTGATTAAGTACCTTTAAGTACTAACAGGTATCAAAGCAAGCCACCTTCAGCAAGTCACCTAGCCTTGTGATGTAGCGCACAACGGGTTATCACACTGACTGGCTCAAAGAGAGCTGTGCTACTGCTGGAATCGTGCTCCTGACAAACAGCAACCCTTGGGGTTCACGAGCACGCTTCAGCCTCCTCACCAGCAACAGCATCCTGGAACTAATGTAACAGACACAAACATATCCTTGACCCACCAAACCAAGGGCTCCTCACTTCTGGTGTCATGCTCTTTCTGCTGCAGACAATAGCTGCCACGCAATGGCGCCGCAGGCTGTTAAACCGTATTTCCAGATCTGTAAATATTTTTACAGCAGCGTGTAGAATATCCCCCCCATTTCATCTGGGGAGAAACTAAAGCTCAGAGAAGTGCTGCAAATCGCCTGCAGCAAGCAGACCAGTGGCAGACTTGGCAACCAACCTGTCTCCTACGGACCAGCCCAGCGCCCAGGCAGCGTGGACACGCTGCCTGCCTTCCAGCTGGGCCCTCAGCCTAGGAGAAGGCAAGAACATCCTGTTGCCTTTGGAGCAGTTCACCGAGCGTGGTCCCAAAGGGCCATGTGGTTTCAGTCATAAAACACCACGCTCAGTCAAGCTCTTGGCGTGACGGCAGCTAAGCCAACAAGGAGGCTTCTCAGAGGACTTCTCACATCTCCCCCCTCCAACTCCATACACTTGAAGATAAAGAAACAACTGCATCCCTCTGGTAGAAAAGACAGCACCAAGATAACTGGAGTGTCCCAATAAAAATAATAAAAAAAAAGACACCGCATGTCCAACTTTGGGATGAACAAGTCGGTGCCAGTACCTATCAGAATCACTGTGCGAGGTGAGGGACAGGAAATGCCACCAGCTGGGACATGGGGACATTGCCAGGGCAAGGGGGAGAGGAACGCTAAGACTTGCTTTACATTAACAGACATACATATCTGGAACAGTTATTCCTTTATAGCCTCATAAATTAGTGAGCCCATAAAAACAGGAGTCTCGAGGAGGACATGCCAAAACCCTGCCATGCAAACCACGTTAATTATGATAATAGGCAGATTTTAATAAGCCAGTTCCTGGCTCCTGCACTTTCAACTATAAAACACCTATTTACAAGGGCAGGGGATCTCAGAAATACCTGCCAGCCATCTAATTGTCTAAACCCCAGTGGCACAAAAACGGACAAACAAAAGGGTTTGTCATACCCTGTATCCCTTTGAATTTTTCTAGTAAAAAAAAGGAAAAAAAAAATCAGATGAAAGAAAACTCCTCCTCTGTAAACCCCAATCTAGCCACAGCAATAAAACAAATGTCTCGGCACAGGCGGTGATGGCGGTAAAGGAGACGGAAGGGCAGGAGGAGGAAGATGAAAGAACGGTAAATTTTCTCCAGACGACGGGACCAGGGAGCTCCTGGATTCCTGGCTGTGCAGTTCTGGCAGCTGACGCTGCTCGTCCTCTGATGCCCTGGCAGAGAGTCAGGCAGCACTGCTGTCCCCTCCAAACATCTGCCAGTCCAGCCTGTTGGAAGTGTGTCTGTGCTGAACGCTGGAGCATGGAAGGTGAGGAAGGGGAGCCTACCGACCAGCTAAGATTTTAGCTCCCGGTCAGGTTTCATGCTGAAGGGCTCCAACCTCTCGCTCTCCGGCAGCATGCTGTTCAGTCGCTCCATCAGCGGGATCGTCTGGTCGATGCCCATCTGTATACGGCGGAGGATGGCAGACATCTCATTGACCTTCTGGATCTGCTCTGCATACTTGGCATACTTCTTCTGGCGCTCCTGCATGAAGCTATAAAGAGTTTCCACAGAGAGGTCCATCTGTTTAAAAACAACAAGCAGAGCGAGGCACATTAGGCTGACTGTTACCACAGGCATTTCAGCATGTTGTCTTTCCTAAAAACAACCAAGAAGCATGTTAGACACCCCACTAGAGCTACCAGCCAGGTACAAAGATGCTCCTCTGTTGTGGCACAACAAGTTTGTCATGAAACAGAATGATTCATAGCTGTGTACCAGGGAGGACATATGACCGCTTCAGGTCTACCTCCAAACACTGAGTATTTGATCAGAAAATTCTTTGCTTACAGGGTTGAAAGCCAACAGGCACTGCCAGGGATTTTCCGATAAACTATATACATACCCTTCAAGTTATCCAGACCCAGGGAACTCATGGCCTCCACCTACACCTGTAGTATATTTTCTGTGGAGATCATTCATTTGCAAGCATTAAGCTCTACCACAGTTGCTAAGCTAATTTTATCAGCTTAGCCAAGTTACTTTGCGACTAAGCCACTGACTGCTGTTGTTACCATCGTCATTTGGAAAACTCCTGTCTTGGGAAAGAACCATAATAGATTGCTAGTGTCCCTAACTTCCCCGAATCCTAAAAATAAATGTGTTATGAGTGACCCCAGGAGAGACATTAAGTAAATCATCTACGCAATTAAACACAGCAAGTACCCAAACACGGCTCTAGCGTGATGACAATGCCAGGAACTGCAGTGCTGTTCCTGCCATTGAGCGACGAAGGTAGCCTTTATAATTCACAGCCCAACTTTCTCTTCAGCCAAACCTGGAAACTCCAGGCAGGATTCAGCCAATAGCCGCTAGTACTGTACACACAAGCCAAGTCAAATGGTTTAAGCTGTTTTACACATTGTAAGACATATCATATATTCAGAGAGCTTGGTAACAGATCTGGTCCAAGCCCTCAAAGCGCACACCTTAAGCTCAGTTGCTTCAGGTCGCTGCAGCTGTGCTCAACAACCCCAGCTGCTCCACTATGATGGCTCTCCAAACTGGTATGTCCGAGTGGTTGGAACTCATCTTGCAACCACACTCTGTCATAGAGGAAAGTGATCCCTTTGCTTGGGACTCGGCACCCTGACCAGTTTTAGCCCGCTGCTGCCTCTTATAGCTGTTTTTCTGAACCTCTCCCATCTAATTACTCCCAGAGGAAAGAGATCACCACTCATGATGAAGCAGCCTCAGGGAATCACTACTGAGGACTCCAGGTCTACCAGGAGTTCCCAGTTCAAACATCCCTCACTCTGTGTGACCACAGAGTCAACACATTCGGTGGAGGACAGCAACTGTACCCATCACCAGAGACAACACAAATTGATCGGTGCACTGCTAAAAATCAAGCTTTGCTGACCAGATCTGACTTACATAGTACTTAATGGGCAAGTGTTGTCCTGACCCAGCACGCTGCAGTGCAGGGCTGCAGGGGAGAGCCGGCAGCAAGGGGAGGACTGGGTGGAAGCAGTGCAAAGCTAGAAGGGGGATCCCCCACCGAGGAGGGAAGTTCCACCCGACCAAGCACTGCTGTCCTGTTGGTGACAGTGATGTTTGACGCTGAAGGGAAAACTAGAGGAGCTGTGTTTGCTGACAAATGTCCCTCTCAAGCCCTGGGGAAGGGACCAAGACAAAAAACACTCAAGCAAGAAAATATTTTCTTGAGAAACCTAAGTTACAAACAGCACTGAAAACAAACAAGTTTCCACTGGATTGTCATGGGGATTAGGAAGCTTTTTTTTTTTTCCCCTATCACCTCCATTAGTACCAATTAACCTTTTATTTCATCTCTACTTTCTAGTGCTCTCAGGCCAAATTCTCCCTTTTTGACTCTGTGCTTTCCTGTGAATTCCTTCCTCCATGCTTTCATGCATGGGACAAAATAAAAACCACCAGAGCAGGAAACTTCAAATAGAGTGGAAACAATTTAAACCTACACAGGGTTTTCTATTAAAACCCCAGCGTAATAAATTAGTAACTTGGTGCTAGCTCTGTAAATTGGAGTGTGTAAAAAGCAGACCACCACCAGGTCTGCACGGGATGGAAGTAAATTCAATCCAGCGCCTAAAAACACCCTGCTTAATGAGAGACAGTGGTGTGGAGTGGCAGCCAGTCGGAAACCTGCCAAAAGCCAGCACGCCTCATTAAACTGAGCAGCACGGGGACCCGGGCAGAAACCTCCTCTGGTGTTCTCCTCCACAGGCAGGTTCTCCATGTGGCCTCACAGTGCTATGCAAAAGGCAAAGCACACACCTACCAAGCTCTGAAACAAACAAACAAACAAACAAACAAAAAAACCCAAAACCACAAAGGCTCCCTTTTCTCTCCATTCCAATGATTTTCATCTGTTGACTTCTGGACTCCTTGTGTAAACAGCAGTAATGTCCACTTCCTAGAGGGGTACACGGAGAGCAGCTCAAGCTGGCCTGCAAAAAGAAGAAACGTGGAGTGGCCTTCCAAGCTCTTTGCTACTTTTGGACACATTGACAATGGCTATAAAAAAGCTGCCTCACAAAAAGGAGAAAGGGTGGAAGTAAGCATTTCCTATGGTTTCCCTACCCCTAGCATTCCAGTTTGCCTGCTGCGGGAGGCCACGGCAGCTGCACAGCCAGCAACACAGCAAGGAGGACCGAAGTTGAGTAATTGTGAGGAAAGGCCAATTTTTACTCAGAATGAACCTGGTCTTTTTAACTAGAAAAAAACCCCAAACCCTACATGTTGACTCCTGTATATAAATGCCAATGCCTCTTTGCAGCTTTCCTTGAAGCAGGCCTAAATACACACATCCTTCCTGCCCCCTCCAAGCAAGCTTTGCCAGTGCCAAACCGTGCGCTTTTACCTCTCCTGGCATGCAGTCCTGTTCCTCTGGCACTCAGACGGGGCCTTCAGCTGCAGGACTCAGAGGGTCAGCCCCACTTACCCACCACAGAGCCTAAAACTGTCCTTTGGGAATCTGTGATGAACAGGGAAGGCTTGTAAGAATCCACTTAATTCCCTACTATTTAATTCCACACAGTAGCAATAAAAAGCATCTGGAGAAGGAGAGCTTAGGCAAAGAGTCTGCTCCCCTGCCTATAGCCAAGGCAGAGCATGCTTTTCAAGACACCCTCGTGGGTCAGATGCGTGAGTTTGCCTTCTTCTGAGCAGCTCCCATCAACTCCCACCTCCCCCAACAGGAGGCCCTGCCACAGTCTCGTCTGAAAAACACTCTAGTACCCAGCCTTCTTGCCCACCCCTGGCTAAGAAGCTCTGTGGGAAGCCCAGCAAGACGCCTGAGAGCCAGCAGCTCTTCCACTGCCCTGCAACCATCTGCCAAGTGTTTATCTGAGCCATTCCTTCTGCCCTGCTTGCTTCAAGCTTCCTACTACGCCAGGCCACCACAGCTGTGGGCAGCTCCCCCATGGGCAGGTCACCACTCTGTACCCGTAAGTCATGACAGATGTGGAGTTGTGCTTTCACCAGCCCCTCAATGGCTTCACCATCACCAGTTTCTCCTTCAGACATCACCACTAAGTAAGCTATCCTCATCCCCACCTTACAGGTACGTAAGAGTTTGGAGAGTCAAAAAACTGGACCTGAAGCCTGTTAAGAAGCAACAGAACAAAAGCAGAGGGCAGAGCCCAGCATGCTAGGTCCTGGTCCTAATTTTTGTCAAAGTGAGAGGTTCTGCCCAGGCTGGTATTGAGAAAAAAAACATGTTCTCAGTGAAGGGGTGAGAGTTTCCAATGCACATTTTATTTCCTTCCAAAAACGATTCTTCCTGTTAAAGCAGCAAACCTGAGGCTGCACATGCCAAGAGTAGAAGACAGCATTTTTTCCCCTTCCTACATCAAAAAGGATGGAAGAATTTTTTCAGTTTTTCTTTTAGAAATATAGTATCAGAAAAATGGACAAGCCTAGAACTCACCTTCCAGCATGATGTATCTTTTTTGTACAGCCAGTGACACTGAGAATTTGGGTCTGTTTCTATTTCAAACCTCATGACTCCTACGTGGATCAGTAGCAGCATAATATTAATTTATGCCTCAGCTTCACATTTTAAACATGAAATGACATCTACAGGGATTTTCTTTCTTCAAATGAAAACAGATTTATAATTACTTCCAACAACAGCACAAGATGGATATTCCCCTACTTAAAAGGGCTCCAGCACAGCCCTTCCTGGTATACCATCCACATTGTCAACCAAGTAAGGGCTCGCAGACTCTCCTCTGCATTACACAGGTCCATTTGTAACAACACACTGATGAAACACAAAAACAATTGAGGGGACTTTCAAACATCTTTGCACACCACAAATTCTTGCATTCATTTTAGAATTCTTCTTGGCCCACACTGCCAAGCAGAATAAAGACATTAATTTAGCCCACAAAAAGACTGAGGTCAGCACTGGACACTGCCCAGTTCTTTTCAAGAGACCACACTGAAAACCAGCCAGTGCCCTATATATATACACCTCTTACCTGGCATGGTTTTATAGAACTTCTGTTATGGGCATGGAAGTGTCCTGAGCTCTTGGAAACAGAGGTCACATCTTATTACTTCAATGACTGAGACTGAAAACTACAGCTAGACACATTTTTCCCTGGTTGCAGAACATGCAAACGGTATCAGAAATTCATTAAACTTGGAATCAAATTTCTAGAGGCACTGCTAACATTTGCAACAAAACAGATACATCTCTCCTAAGAGGATGCTCTGTCATTCCCAGCTTCTCCACTCCCTCCTTAAAATGCCAATAAGGCAAGAAGATGTTTCGCTTTTCCCCGACTCAGCAACAGCCTTCAAGGAGCTCAGCTAGACATCCACTTGTCCTGTGTCCCTCTGCCCTAACAATGTGCTGTTAGCTTCCATGCCATATGGCTGCCACTCAGAAAAAAAACCACAGCAATTCAGGCGCAATCCCTATTCCAGAAAGTTCACTTGCTAGAATGGTGCTCCGAGCACAAGCAGCCTTTCCCTTCACATTGTCAGGTGTCTAGCTGGGGTTAAATGAACTCCTTCCTGCAGCTGCACAAAAA